TCCTCCTCCTCCTCCTCCTCCTCCTTCTTCTTCTTTTTCCACTGCCTCCGCCTCCATCTCCTATGTCCTTATGCCATAATGAAATGACAGCTCATGGGCAACAGTGTTTAATACTGTATTTGACACATAATAACTTTAAATGTTAGTCTGTGAAGTAGTAACAATAATACATATTGATTTAACTTTTTATCATTTGAAGACTGATGAGAAACATCTTTAGTCATGGTTTCTAGGTCCTTCCTATTATTGATTATGCTCCTGTATATATTTTCCTGTTTCTCAATGAGCCTCTTAACTTGGCTGAACACAATATTCCGTATATAGTTTTACTAGAATCAACTTGAACATAATTAATTTCTCCTTCGGTGTAGATTTTCTACTTCTATCAATGCAATGAACAAAATTAATTTCTTTGGAGGATTCATTCTACTGAGATTGAAGTCTGAAGTACCCTAAATTCATCTGTCCATGAACTCTCTTTAGTTTACTTTCACACTCAGGTCTCTTACTTATTCTTATGGTAGAACTCTGGGACATTTTCTTCCAGAAGGTACCATCTTGCTACCTAGTATTACAATTTCTGAGATTCATATAAGTACATATTTTTCATACAACATATTTTTCAAGTTTATTAATGTTTGCCAGCTAAATGCTGGCCAATTGCTATGGAATGAGGCTGAGAACAGGATTCAGTAGCTGTTTAGGATTGCTTGAGGTAAGTTTACTTTATTGAGCAATAGGAACATAAACAGAATCAAGCCTTAAGGATTCTTTCACCCAAATAATGTACAGAATGATATGGTATCTGTTAGGAGATGTCAAACATATGCTAATTGTAAACTTTTCCTTTTACTATTGCTTCATAATAGATAACATAAATCATGTTATAATCTATTATAAAATATAGAAGCATTTCTTAAGAATAAATTGTTATTAATTCAGTATAACTTCGAGTGAGTCTAAATTGGTAGATATAATTCAGGCTATATAGATACCTATACATTTAGGGTTTGTTTTAAATAAAATCAGGTTAACTATAATGAAGAATATTACATGTAGACTCAGGTTGGTTTATTCAGGTGGTTTTGGAATTTAACTCTAAGGACTCCTAATTCTTTCACAAAAATTCCAAAGATTCCTGGGTAGCTTATAAGAGGCCTTTCATGTTGATGAATTGTGACATTCCCTGACTCGGTTGTTCTCAGCTGGGGGTGATTTTGCTCTCCAGGAGGCACTTGGCAATCTCTGAAGACATTTTTTATTGTCACAGTTAGGAGGATGCCTCTAGTGCGTAGGGATGCTGCTGAACTGCCCACAGTGCACACAACAGCTCCTTAGAAAAAGAATGACCTAGCACGGAATGTCAGTAGTGCTGAGGGTGAGAACCTTAGGCCAACTCAGTGAGTCCCAAACTTTTGGAAGTTGCAGTGGATTTCCCTCTGCCTCAGATTTCCTTTATTTCTACTTCTGCTTTTCTCTGCCCCTTCCGATTACTCCTTAAGTTCTGATTCTTTCCCATCATTTTTTGCTCTTAATTATTTTTCTTTTTCATCTATTAAAAACAGATTAGAATCTAGTGGGTTTTTTTTTATAGAGGCAAAATATCAGAAATACCACAAATGGCACACTTCATGATAATTAGTAACATTCTAGGTTACAGTGAACCCAATGTTCTTATCATTGCCCAAGTTAAGGAGGGCCTTTCCAATGAATACCAGAATTTGGGAGAATTGCAGATAGAGTATTCAGGTCAACTCTTACCTTGAAGTGGCAGTATATCAAGAAAGATGCTTAGCCTACTTAATTGATGGGATGCTAGGGTTTAATTTCAATAATTTATCTGACATGGGTATACATATTGAGAGATTTAATGCAAAATAATTGTTCAGGGCGAAATTCTTTGTACTACCTCATTGTACCTTCTATAGTAGTTTGTACACAGTAGATTTTCAGAGGGGCTGATTAATAGTGGGAACAGCTGTGTGGTTGGGCATAAACTATTGACTGAAATACCAGAGCATCTCTGAGTTATGTGTTTGTGCTTCATGCCCTCCCTGATTTTTTTGTGGAGGCAGAGCTGAAGTGAATCCTTGGGAGACAGAAGACCTTTCACTTGTCCCCTATTGGGTTCCCTCTCCAGGGTTTTTTAATCACACATTTTGGAATGGATCATATACGTGTCCCCCTACTCTTTATCACGATACTTTTGTGGATAAAGGTGTAACAAGATTTAGATAATTTTATTTCAAAAATATTATTTGGAGAACTGAAATTTTTCTTGAATCTTTTCTCCATTATTTTATCTCTCAGAAAAGTTAATATTTAAATGACCTTTGTCGATAATTAAATAAACTGCCTTAAAATGTTTAGCTTTCCTGAGATTTTTCTTTCCTGAGCATCTATTTTTTGAAACTACTAAGTGCTTTATATTAATAAGGAATTAAAAACTTGGTTTTGTTTCTGTGAGTAAAGACAACCCCTAAACATATAAGATAATTAAAAGACAACTGTACCAAAGCTTATAAATAAATAAAACCTATATTATGACTTATAAATCCTGAGAAATTTATAATTGAGAATAAATAGGGTAATTTTATTTTTTTAAAATAAAATGTTTTAGCAGTGAATTTTGAAGCAGAACTTGAAATAAAATAGACAAAAACTTTTTTTTTCTTTTAAAAACTATTTTATTTTGGAAAATTTAAGCAGACATAAAAGGAGAGAAAAGAGAATGATGAACTCCCAATTACCCATCACCAGGATTGAGTAATTGTCAACATTTTCTCCCATTCTTGCCTCAGCTCTCTTGTGTTGTTGTTGCTACTTTTGTGAACATATTTTAAAATAAATTTTGATCCTACACGTCTAAGTGCAAATCTCTAAAAAACATGGATGTTTTAATTCATTCAATGATCCCATTACCACAACTAACAAAATTACTAACATTGTTTTGGTATCATCTAATACCTAGACCATATTCATATTTTCCTGATTATCTTCAAAGTCTGTATTGGTAGATATGTTGTAATTAGAATCCAAAGTCCAAACATTGCATTTGGTTATTAAGGCAACGTTTTCTTTGATTAATATTTAATTTTATTTTCAAGGTTGACAATCCATGAAAAATAGGCAGTATTATTTGGCCAAAAGAGTCTTTTTTCATTCTGCTTCAATCAGCTATGCTGTGTGGGGTGGGAAAAGTCATCTTGTTATCCCAACAAAAACCTCTAAATATTCGTAACCTGCTCCTGATATTTTTTACTTCAATATTTGCCACTTTGGTGAAGTTGACGTGTGTGAAGAACATTATGGCTCTAGGAACAATCACAGTTACTTAAAATATCCCTTAGGGACAGAGCCTTGGGTAGGTAGGTCTACCGTGAACCTGTTTGAAAACCATTGCCATGCAGTTTTGTTCATGTCTGCAACTACACTCCATCATAGATAAACTCCTATTCCTAACATGTATTAAGCAGCCATGCAGGCCTCTCACACCTGGTATAAGGCAGTATTCCTGGAATACTTACCTTTTTTTTGGGGGGGGGGGAAATTAAAATATTTTAGTCCTGGAGTCTTTGCATGAGGATTTTGAATTTTACAACAACTGAAGTCAGAAACAAATATCTGCTTCTTCCCACGATCCAGTATTAGTCTCTTAAGACACAGGAGTGATCAGTGTGTAACATCATGTGGGATTTTAGTAGCTTCAGAATAAAATTTTGGAATATAAAGGAGACAGGAGTCATGGAAATAATATCTTTTTCAAAAAGGGTAATTCCAAAGTTTCTTAAATTAATACTTGAATGAAGTCATTGTTAATATAATGGTTATAAGCGGTTTTTGTAAATACCTATTTTTAATTACAGTATATAAACAACCCGCTCACTCCAGAAACTGTGAACGTAGTAGAGTCAATGGCAGAATTATTTGAGGGTTCAGCAGAGATATCTTCTGACCTGTATGCGATTGCTTCAGTTATGTATAACAGTCATCCACATAATAACTTTCCTGTGAGGAATAGAGCTGAAGACCAGCATTTAACAGTTGGTAGGTACAGTTTTTATGTTCTGTCAAATGCATTGAAACCACCAGTGCTTGCTAGCTAGTACAGATATGAACCTCAGCTTGGAGTTCAGCCAAATTATTAATGGTTCATGGGCTGGAGTCAGATTTTTTTCTTCTTTAACTGTTGGATAGCCTCATGCAGCAAATGGAAATGCCACACAGGCAGGAGCTGGCCCCTTCTAACCCATTTGACCTTCCTCCCAGAGAAAGTAGCACCCTAGAGTCTTTGGCCAAGCTGCATAGACAATCAGTTATTACAGTTGCCAAAGCAGGTGTGATGGGGAGGGATGAACATATCTTCAAATCATTTACAGGCCTCACACTCTCTGCAGCTTTTGACTAATAGGTTTTCAAATGTCACTAAAGGTAAATAGGTCAGAAAGTTACAACTCGAGTGCATGCAAGTGATAAACAGGTGTAGGTGCCCCAGCGACGTGGTGATGTCATTAGGGTGTACACTTGCTCTTCAGGGTCAGTGGATCTTATTGTTTCTAAAAGGAGAATGCCATATATAGCAAATTAAAAGTACTTGGTTAGAGAGCAGCCATTTAAATTCTCTCTCTGTTTTTTCTAAAATGCTAAGTGAGAACATTTTCTCCTTTTCTCTGATTTGATATTTGTCCTGTTGCAAATTAAAAGTGTTACTTTATTGATGGTATACTGAGTCAAAATATCACATTACCTTCAGTATATGTTTATTTCATTTACTGATTTATTCATTTTTTCTGTGCAAAGATGACTGGGGGCAACACTAGGAATTAAGAGGCCCACAGTTTCTGATACAGATGTTTCCTTAAACACTTCAAGTTTGGCCTAATTGGTAATTAACATCATTGGAACCACAAGTTCTAAATAAATAAATAAAAATCTAACACTATTTGAAATCCTTGTTCAGACAGATTTAAGTATCAGTTACCCAAATATACTTGTTTTAAAATACTACTGGTTTCAGTGAAGGTATAGTGAATTTTGAGTTCAAATAAAAGTCTCAATTTGATATCATTGCTTAGTCTGTCTTTTCAGAAAAAAAAAATTCCTAGCCAGTCCCTTTTAGCAAGTTATATATTTTTCAAAACACTAATCTCATATTCCAGGATAACATAATAACTAGCAAAGCTGTATTATGAGCATAACATGTCTATAGATATTGTTGGGGAGTACTCAGCATATTTATTATTAATTATACATCTGCCTTTCACATAAAGGAGTGAATGGAGAGATTAATGAAGTATGTGGAATCCGGTTTAAGATTTCAATGTGTGAGCAAACATAATTTTGATCGTGAACCCAAACACGTTTTAAAAAAGCATTTTATTTCCAATAGGAACTACATGGAATCAGTATATCACTGACATTGCTGCCGAACAGCTGTCTTACGTTATCAGGAGACTCGTACCTTTCACTGAGCACATGATTAGTGTATCTGCTTTCACCATCATGGGAGAAGGACCACCAACGGTTCTCCATGTTAGGACACTTGAACAAGGTAAGGATGTATTTCCTTTGAAATAATTACCTGCAAGTGCTGCTCTTGCACATTGTAATCCTCTTTCTTTTCTTGCATATTAATTGTTCATTCTTCTTTTCAAGTGCCAAGCTCCATTCAGATTATAAACTATAAAAATATTAGTTCCTCATCTATTTTGTTATATTGGGATCCTCCAGAATTTCCCAATGGAAAAATAACTCATTATACAATTTATGCAATGGAACTGGATACAAACACAGCATTCCAGATGACTACTCTAAATAACAGCTTTCTCATAACAGGTAGAACAAAGTTTTGCTTTTTAAAAAACATTTCTATTCTGATGGAACATATGCATCTCTCTCTGCCTTAAGCCCTGCAGGACACGTGTTTCATCATTCCAGATTTAGCTGTGCTGTGCTGCCATGGAGATCTTACAAAATATGTGAAGAAGTACCTTGATTAAATGTGTTCTCCTTTATATTTATCTACAAAGAAGTAAAATCATAAGATCACAAGTATCTTAGGAATACACTTAACCCAAGAAATTTTGTCTGTCTATTGAAATAACTTAGGATTATTGAAGGAATGAATGTGAAGTAAATCAGCTGATCCAGTGTTTGTGCCAAATCAACTACTAGTATACTCCTTGCAGTGTGCCAAAATTATTTTTCAGCCTCAAATCTTTCCTTAATATTTTAGGAACGAACTAAAACATCACCAACATGGGAATATCCTCAAGCCTAAAGATGTTTGGGAGATTGGGATTATAGGGAAAGTGACTGGAGGAATCAGTCTCCGAAATAAATTATTTTCACTATTCCTATGTCAAATGGCACTAATCTAAGTGTTATTTTAAGAAATTTAAACAAATTGCCTATTGGTTTTATAGGGTTAAAGAAATACACCAAATATAAGATGAGGGTGGCTGCCTCAACTCATGTTGGAGAAAGTTCTTTGTCTGAAGAAAATGACATCTTTGTGAGAACTCTGGAAGATGGTAAGACTATTAGGTGCAGTTTTAATAGAAAAAAGCAAGTGGTGTTGCTTGCTTACTGCCTTCTACCTCATGCTGCCTTTAGTAGCTGAAGCAATAAACATGAGAAAATACAAGTATTTAAAGTTTTCTTTTCTTCCTCCAGAACCAGAATCATCACCTCAAGATGTGGAAGTTACTGATGTTACTGCACATGAAATAAGTCTGAAGTGGTTACCACCTGAGAAACCCAATGGGATTATTGTTGCTTATGAAGTTCTCTATAAAAATATGGATTCCTTATTTATGAAGAACACCTCAACAACACACATAATTTTAAGGGACTTAAAACCTTATTCCCTCTATAACATTTCTGTGAGGTCATACACCAGATTGGGTCATGGCAATCAGTTATCTTCCTTACTCTCTGTGAGGACTTCTGAGACTGGTAAGTTTTTTATTTGTTTGTTTAATAATGCTTAGTAATGAATGTGGCTGACAATTGCTATATTGTTTTTATTTTACTTAACTAAAACCCCTCATTATTCCATTTTGTATAATCCAGGAATTGTTTTGCTTTTTAAAAAAAACATTTTTTTTTTATTGATTTCAGAGAGGAAAGGAGAGGGAGAGAGAGATAGAAACATCTTGCATGCCCCCACTTGGGATGGAGCCCACAAGCTGGGCATATGCCCCGACTGGAATCAAACCATGACCTTCTGGTTCATAGGTTGATGCTCAACCACTGAGCATCACTGGCCGGGCTTTTTTTTTTTTTTTTTTTTTTTGGTAAATGAATACAAAAAGGCTTGCCATGCACATTTTTAAAAAATCTGATTTGCATATAAGGGACTCTAAAATAAAGATCAGCAAATTTTACAAATGAAAGGCTTAAAAAACTAAAGATGTTTTTCAATGTCCCTGTAAATTTGTGAATTAATAATACTTGCTTTCAAATTAGGTAAAAGCAGAGACACACTCATAAGAATTGATTCCCATACTCTAATGAGGTATGTCTGTAGATAGAGGTGTAGAGTGGGAGCACAGATAGGGCCTATGGGGGGAAGTCTTATGGAGGAGGTAGCATTTAACCTAGGTCTTAAGCAGTCAGGTGGAATGGGCAGGAGGACCTTCTGGAAGCTATATGAGGGGGTATCTGATCTAAAGGAAATAACGCAAGCAAGGAGTTACTTGTGTTTCAGTTTCACCAATGCAAGAGCCAACAGTACAAAGGAAGACATTTTGCCTGATGATGTCAGTTTATTGTTTATGGATATAATCATACATTGGAGCAACTTTATAGTGTCCATAGAGAATGGCATAGGTTATAATTGCAGAAACAGGAGAGTGATGAAAAGAGCATTTTTTATCATCAAGAGTTCCCCCAAAGTGAAATCTAATTGATATTAAACTACATATCATCATGTTTCATTGCTTTTATAGATCTGGTGCTTAAATATAAGTATTTGCTTTTTACCAGGCCTTGTTTTATTTCATTTTACACTGGTTCAAGGAGAGAAAAGCATAAGCATATTTTAAGCACCTGGAAAGTACCATGGGCTTTGCTATTGGATTTCATAATAATTGCCTTTTATTTTGGAATAGAGCATGAAGGTATTATTATCTTCACTGCCTAATGAAAAATGGAGATCTGAGAGGTTCATCTTTTCAATAAATATTTATAATATGCCAAGCCCTAGTGGGAATATACCACTGTAGGATAAAATGAATTTTACCCACCTAAAGTTAATATTAATTGGTGGGTATTTAATTGCTTAAGGCTATCTAGCTGGTAAGTGATGAAGCTGGAATTGGAACCCAAATCCACCTAACTGTAAAGCCAATTTCCTTTCACAATAATGCTAGTTTAGAAACCATCAGTAAAGCTGCTAAGTGATAAATATATCTTGATCTTCCTGTTCATTTCTGCAGTGATATTTCACTGTTTGGGGCTCTGAACAGCATTAGAAAGGAAAGTAAGAACTTTAAAAATCCTGTTGTGATATTAAACAATAGCCATATTCATGAACATTTATCAAATGTTTCACTATTTAATTGGTCACAACATCAACTACACCTTATTTTTATGACTATCTATAAAAATCATTTTTTTGTTTTCTAATTATCACATGCTTGCAGTTTTTTTTACTTAATATTAAAAAGTAAATTCAATTTTTATTTCATTATTTATTGTATGAGTTTAATTCTCAGGTAGGGATAGTAACAAGTCATAAGTGAATATAAGAATTTAACTTGAAATGTAATTTAAAATGTGAATTTTAGTGTTGTCAGGTGTCTTAGAAAATATACAGAATCCTTTATTTTATGGATGAGGAGACCTAGGAATCTACACTAATAAAAGAGAAACATGGTAATTAGTGTACGACCGCTACCCTTTTCATTGGCTAATCAGTGAGTATATGCAAATTAACTGTCAGCCAAGATGGCGGCCGGCAGCCAGGCACTGAAGCGAGCACGAGGCTTGCTTGCTGCAGACTCCAACATTCCCCACCTCACTTGCCTGCCTCTCATCTGCAAGTCTAAGCAACTATATACTATGTTGCAAATAAGAAG